AAAGATAGAAATATACGTTAAGACTCATGTATGTGTAGAATCTATAAATGGTTTATGAGAACTGATCTTCTGACACATGATGAAATGAACAGATACTTTGAAGAAAAAGAGACACTAAAATACCCAGTGCTGATCCTGGAGTGTCATAATGTGAAACCCAGAAATAGTATTATTCTTTGTTGAGAGTGATATTAGCCTGCTTGGGTTTGTTCAATCTCAAATAACTGAAGATATGGATAACTACATGTATGTTTAAGTGTATAGGATTGATAACCATATTTCTATTTTTGTTGGATAGTTGAACAGAACTGTTTGCAGTCTCGCTGTTTGAATTCCCATTTTACACGTTTCATTTTTGTATCTTGAACAACTATTTGTAGAACGACAATATGTAAACATCAACTAGTGATTTCTTACTGTTTATTTTTTTCTCTGAACGTATGTATTATTTCTGCCTATTTTCTGTTTTGTTTAGTCTTTCTCTAAATAAAATTTTTAAAAAAGAATTTAACACTGTAGTGCCCCTGTTTATACACTAGCATTACACCTGCATGTTGCTTAGCATTAAGTCCTAACTCACACTCTGGTTCTCAGTAGCATTGCAATTTTGCATCTGCTTCCATATTTTCATGGAGATTGTTCAATAGCTGGTTAATGAAAGTTGAATCAGGAGAACTCATCCTCCAGCATATCTAGGATGAAAACTTTTAATATGTGGGAGCAGTGATGAAAATCTGCAACATCTTATGAAGTAATCACATAAATGATTATTTAAATATTGGGGGGGGAAATAGCAACATATTTGTATTTTAAAATGTCAACTCTATGTAGATGAGATGAAAATTTAAAAAAATACAATGTAGGGGCTGGGGATTTAGCTCAGCGGCATAAAGCACCTGCCTTGCAAGCAGGCAGTCGTGAGTTCAATCCCTGATACTGATAAAAAGGAAAAAGACAAAAATAAAAAAATGTGTTCATGATTACATAGTAGCTTACTGTCATTCTGTATTATCTAATCAAAAAATATAAAACTGCACAGATAATTATATGACGATTTGAAGTTATTCATCTATTTCATAAGGAACCTGCATATTCAAAAATGGTTGAGAATTGTATCTTGAGCTATTTAAGTTTTTAAATTAGGGAAATGAAATAGGAAGACCATAAATAGTATTTTAAATGCTATAAATGAAGGTTCTTTCTGAAAGAACACTTCTATTCATTAAAATTAAGAACTGGAGTTAGATGTGGTGGTGCCCGTCTGTAATCCCAACAGTCAGGGGGCTGAGGCAGGAGGATTGTTGTGAGTTTAGGACCAGCCTGGGCTACAAAGTGAGCTCAAAAAAATAAAATTAAGAACTGGATGGTCTCATGAGTGTCTACGGAGAAACCAAGAGGCTGTTATCCTAATGGGAAGGTAGACTATGGAAGATATGAGGGAGAGGGAAAAAATGCTGGGATACTTTATACAATACAGAGGAAAACTTTGGAGAGATGGGGAAAGATGGAAAATACATGACAAGCTTAGGAGATCACTGTTGGATATGTTGGCAAGTCCATCACTGACCAAAAAGTCATAATGTGGCACATGACTACAAGTGCTTAGATTTTTATCTTCCTGATGAGCTGGTGAAATCTATAGACAGAGTTACTGTCTTAGACACCTTTACTCTGAAGTATCCAACACTGAGCCGGTCCTACAGCAAGGGTCCAGTAGGGATTCTCTGGATTAAAATGCTCAAGTCCAATTAGCCTTTCTCCACTGATTTGCTCATGTAACGGTCACTCATATGCCACGTGCTGTATCGCCTCTGTCACAATGGCAGGCAAGGTTCATCCGGATGGTCATCAAAACCAGCATTGGTGGTTATGGTGAATACTGGCTACATTTGGATTTGATGGTACAAGATGCGGGGTTTGTGTCACATGACTGATCCCCGATGCTGTGGCTAGCAGCACAGAGGAAAAGGAATAAGTCCCACGTATTACAAATTGCAAAACACTTTCCAAGCACTGTCAGGCAGCTCAGAGCTCATACAGTTCCAGAGTATATATCTCATCCAGGGACTTATAATTTTATAGAAAAAACATGAACATGAAAAATGAGGAAACTAGCTCAAATAGAACGTAATCAAGGGTTGAGTGGAGTATAATAAATTAGCAGATAGAGCAGCTCAGAAAGTAGAAAGAGCACTGGTGGATATGAAGAGAACCAAATTCCTGGCTGGACTGAATACTGAAATTCAGATCCCTACACCTATTATCTGTGCTATGGGAAGAAAATCACTTTGCTTTCTGCAGCAGGACCCGGTCTGAATGGTGAAGGTACAGTCTGGAATCAGAGTTGTTAGATATAGCTGAACTTTGACAAGGCCAGCAAGAGTTTATTTTTTTTTTTAATTTTTTAATTTTTGGTACCAGGGATCGAACTCACGACCTCGCGCTTGCCAGGCAGGTGCTTATGCCGCTGGTCCCAGAGCCTCAGCAAGACTTTAATCTTTCTGTTTCTCTCTGTCCTCATTTATAAGGTAAATATAATATTATTTAATACACAGAGCTGTGAGAATGGATGAGCCTGGCAGACGGCAGTAAGAACTCAGTAACAAATCAGCTTGTTCTCTTGGCATCGGTTCCCATCTGTGACCTGGAAGCACGGCTGCCTGATTGGGTTGGGGTTGTTATACAGATAAGAAGGGGGGGCCAGGTGTAGTATGGAAGCATATGCCTATAATTTCAGCACTCTGGGAGGCTGGGGGGGGGGGAATCACAAATTCAAGCCCACTCAGCATAACCTAGAAATTTAGTGAGACCGTGTCTCAAAAAAAATGTTTTTTCAGATTGTTTATTAGTGCATGTTCATTATACACAATGTTTGCATTCCTTGTGCGAAGTTGGTACACGTACATAGCACATCATAATTCTTTTCTTCATCCTCTTTCCCTCCTCCCTGCCTCCATCTCTTGATCCTCTACCTTTTTTGAGAAAAGCCTCCCAATTTCCTGTTATCTATCTTTTATTTTCAAAAGGGCTTAGTAGCAGCACAGTTTATAATAGCTTAATCTTGGAAACAACCAAAATGCCCATCAACTGCAGAGTGGATGAAAAAGATGTGGTATTTTTATACAATGGAATATTACTCAGCTATAAAAAGGATGATCTTGAGGCCTTCATAGGTAAATGGAGACAACTTGAGACTATCCTCATAAGTGAAATAAATAAGAATCATATCTATAAATATCACATTGTGTCTCTAGTGTAAAAAGTAATAAGAATTGTAGGAGTAATAAAACCCAAAATGCATAATTGCTATTGTAAAAAAGAGAGGAAAAGGAAGTGCTCTAAAGGATATAACTGCACGTATGTTTAAGTGTGTAAGATAGATGACCATATTACTGAGTTTCTCTTGGATCGTTGAGCAGAACTGTTTGCAGTCGCTGTTTGAATGTCCACTTTGCATGCTTTAATTTTGTAATTTGAACAACTATGTCTAAGATGACAGAATTCTGTATTATTTCTACCCTTTTTTCTATGTGGCTTCTTTTTCTCTTTAAATAAAATTTTTTAAAAAAGAAAAAAAAAGGGCTTGGGATGTAGCTCAGTGTGAAGGCTCTGGGTTCAATCCCTATCCCCCCCCAAAGAAATCATTTAACAAAAGGTTGTTTAATCTGAATCATTGTAGTAGATCTCCTTAATATGAAAGTAAAATGTTGAAGACCTCTCTTACTGCTATCAAAGAAAATAAAGTTATATCTGCTTCCAGCATCTCGATTATGCCTTTGTATAAGTTCTTGAATCTCTGTTTTCAAAACTGACAGAATCTACATAATTGGGCTTACGTCACACAAAAACATTCTTTGTGTGATTTTTCCTTATGGTTCTACAGCTGAGTTTCCCAATGGAAACGAAACATTTTATTGGCGTAGAGATGCTCTCTCGCCATAACAATGGATTCCAATTACTTTTCCTCATACATCTGAAGCTGAGGTGTTATTTCAGACAAGTTTCTAAATTAGCTTGACAGACAGCGCCCAACTCCAACTTCATTAAGGCTGGAAACATTTTGTATAGTTATATGAGCATCGCTAAGAGCTCCGCAGCGCTGTCACGCCAGGCAGACCTGAGTCACCAGAGGTCTGAGGAACCATCACTTCTAAGGGACCACAATCAAACAGTTTGAAGTTAAACTACACTTGATTCCCTTGAGGAAAAAAAATATTCATATAAGTCAGACACTGGACTGCACTTTTCTCCCTGTTATTTTGGCAGAATAGAAAATGAGTCATTGTTCAAATTGAATGAAAGCTGCTAAAATTAGATGTGAAAATATTTTAATCATATTGTGACTTCTACCCAAATTTAATAGATGAAGAGAATGTTGCTGAGACATAGGCATTTAGTAAAGGTATAAATGTGTGTGCCACAACACAAAGGAAAATAATCTCAATAAGAGAATCCAAAGTAAAACAGAAACAACATATACACATGTATGATTTATTGTGAAGGTTATTGGACTCCATTTCAGGTGGGAATTTCGGTTTCTGTGGTTGTATCTGAGTTTTGGTTCTTAGCAAGGGATGGTTTGATGAGAAATTGTCCTCATTTGATATTTGATCAAAGAGACCCTGGGGAAGAAGCCACCCAACTTTATCTTTCTCAACTCTGTGTGTTTTAAATGATTCAATTATTCGTCCTTCTGGCAAAGACTGATCATGAGGAAATACTGAACAAGAGCATGCCCTCTCTGCTCGATTAAAAAACCAGGTCTTGCTCATAAACTCTGAGTAAATAGTTGCTTTAGCACACAAATGGAGGGCCATTTGGAGCTCTTGGATTTTCTAACTCAGCCTAACTAGTACTTTGGTTCCCACTACTGAGAAAACCTTACCTCTGAAACCACACTTCAAGGATTATTCTTTAATGAAAATAAAATCCCACCCATCTCCAGCAACTTCAGCAGGGTGGTGTCGAAAATACAGCTCTTTACAACTGGGACAGAGGCCTCAGCCTATCAGGAGGGGCCCTGGTGGGAGGGCCTGTTCAGGCATGCAGCTGTGCACCGGCTCCGCTCTGCCGGTCCAGGTGGGCCCCAGGGCTTGGCTGGCTTGGCTCAGGCTGCAACCAGGTCTCCCAGCCCGCCACGGCCTGTTGCTGGCTGCTGCTGCTGCTGTCCGGGAGGGCGGCTGTGGTGAGTGACAACATCTCTGGGTGACGTGTCCTTAGATGGGGGCAAGAGCACTGTTCTTACTGCCTGCGCCAAAGGCTCCACCCAGAGCTTGTGAATAGCACCATGTTTGTTTAGAGCCTTCCACTTTCTAGGAGCCCCCAAAGGAGCCATTTGCTCAAGTTTCACAGTCGTGCAGTCTCAGATTTAGACTTTTTGATATGATTTCTAAATGAGGCTAAATGCTCTGTCTCACAGCGGTGCTGACTGGAAAGGGAGCGGTATCTGTCAGTCTGTCTGTCTGTCTGTCTGTCTTGTCTTTTTCTCTCTCAGTCCTGCAGATTTATCCAGTGGCCTTCACACTGAGCTACACTTCTAAATCTTTTTGTTTTTCATTTTGATACACGCTCTAATTACATTTGCTAGATTTCCTAGACTGGGCTCCAACTTGCAATCCTCCTGCCTTGGCTTTCCAGGTTCTGGGTTTACAGGTGTACACCACCATGCCTGAGAGCTTAAATCTGGCCTCATTCCCAGTTATAAAACTTCAAGAGTTTCATAAATCAACCTGTCTACAAATTCTGTCATTTCCTTGAGAATATCTTAATATGCACAATGATTTTTTGTTGTCATCCTTTATTTTACCACCCATCTATTGGACACACATTTGTAAAACACAATAGTTTTTGGGTATTCTGGCACTTAACTTTTCACAGTGTAGAAAGACTAGAAAAAAAAAAAAAATGGCATGGCCCGGCATTGTCCTTAAAGTCAATTGTAACAGGAGGCCCAGGTCTTGGGCCTAGCTTTGCCCAGGGTAACTAGCCTGGTGTTAGAGTCCCTCTTCTCACGATCACAGCCCTATCATCAGAATTTCTCTTTCTTGGGAATATTTATTTCTACAAGCCGCCCCACTCCCACTCTATCTCCTTTCAAAGAAGACTTTCCTGGGGGATCCCAGGAAGCCTTAGCCAGCCAGTATGGATTCAAGGGGTCTCTGTTCAGACTACACTTGAGAGTAACACTCAGTAACAGCTTAATTACAGTCTCATCTTACATACCGGCTGCCTCTTGGCTCTCACATATAAAAAGGGCTTGACAGCTTTAAAATGTTTGAGAGCAACTATCTTAGATATTCCTCTGAGTGGTGGATGTGTGTACTTCTTAAGTTCCAAGCTGTGGCATCTTTCAGGGATCAAGTACAGCCTTTTCAGTGGATCCATGACCCTAGGGACAGAATCTGCACTCACGCAGTCAACACTGCTCTTGGTTTCTGACTTTCTGGTCAGATAAGAAGTAAAGTCAGTGTTAATGGGGGGAAAAGGAGATCACGAACTAAGTAAAGCCTTGGAACTGAGGAAGAAGCAGCAGACATCAAGTCTCCTAGGCCGGGGCCACCACAATCGGCTCTGCCCTCTCTATCGGGATATCAAATTGGGTTTGAGCTTGCCCTAGAAGGTCAATTTGATTATGCCTGTAAAAGCTGAAAAACTTACTAACAGTGTATATATTTTGAGTCATAGCTTCTTAAAAACGAATTAAGTTCATTAACTTGTGGTCATTGGAACAAAGCATTCTTTCTAAGGAAAGCTGGCCAAAGAAGGCCTATCAGAATGGTTCATTGTGTGCAACAGTATTCAATCCCAGAGCTTAGGGGTTTTGTTTTGTTTTGTTTTTCAGTATCTCACATGATTTAATCACTTTGCCATAGGTTATATAACTCACTATTCTTTATGTTTTTTAATTTTTCCATTTAAAAATCCAGAAAAAAATTTCACTCTTTCAAATCCAAAAATTGGATTGTAATTGCTAATCATATTATAAATATGATAAAAGAAATTGATAAAAGAAATTATAAGGCTAGGCATGGTGGCACATGGGTTAAGGTCAGCACTGAGGAAGCAGGAACAGAGGATCACCATGAAGTCAAGGCCAGCCTGGGCTACATCATGAGCTGAAGGCCAACCTCAACTACATAGCGAGCCCCTGTCTCAAAGAAAGAGAGAGACAGAAAGAGAGGGACAGTGAAAGAGAGAAGCATACAAATTTATATGCAGAGAAGCCAAAAGCAACATTTGACAATTATTATAATTATTATTTCACATCTCAACATCTTTATAAAACCAATTAAAGTATCATATCAATATTAAAAGTTGGAGGCATTAAGTGATTTGTCAAACCCATACAGCAAGGCTACACAAGCATTCCTTTAAACATAAATGTGTCTAAGTACCTTTGGATAGCAAAGAATGTCAAAGCAAATTTGTGAGATTTACAAAAGTAATAATATAGAGTTTGTGTTCATCTTAATGTAAACTACATATAGCATAAATCAAATTATACTCATCTGAGATTTTAGGAAAGCATTTAGGCTTCTATTCTCTATAATAAAGGCCTATTTAAAATTAAACTTGAAGGATAATTGATGTCATTCATTTATCATTTCTTTACAACAACATGAACTCTTGCAGTTGAGGTGAATTATGAGTGCATATTCAACTCTTACATAAGCACATACTACCTTCCATGGAAATAATTGTAAACCTGTACACTATAAGCTAATAAAGAATACTGTGCTTTTACAGACATATCAAAATTTAAATATTCAATTTTTAATAGTTCCTGAAAAAGTCCCTCTAAGACAGAAATTCTTCTTTATTATTTTGGCGACATGGTCAGCTGACTCCACTTAGCGCTCCCTTTGAATGTCATCTCCACCCTGGAGCTCACTTTCTCAATAATTCAGAAAAAAGAATTGTGCAACTCTATCACACCCGGATGCACATTCCCCCTGCCTGCTTCTAGGGAACACTGAGTGGGCAAACAAATGCACAAGAAGAGGTACAGCTCTACTGGAGAGAAGGTGAGGTCAGCTTGGAACTTGGCCTTAGGTCTTTAGACTAGAGGTAGTGATAAAAGAGAAGGTCGACCTGGGCACAGGACAGGGAGGAAGGGCTGTGTCTTGGTTCCTGAGAAGGTGCCTCTGCCAGTCCATGTAAGGGATGGTGGAGTGGATTACATAATCAGGAAAGCCCACGCCCCAAACTCCAGTGTGTAGACCCATTTCGAGGTGTAAGGTGAATGCATTTACCCCATTTAGACTTTTAGATGATTTATGAAATTCCAATATATGGTTTAGGAACACCATACAGGATTAGGAGGGGCAGAGCAGAGGAAAATAGTAGGAAGGAGATGATTATATATATATTTGATATCATTTTATGACTTATCTGCAGTTCTTTGGGAACTTCCTAAATGAAAAGGAAGCAGCAGCAACAGGTGTGTCTGTGGACATGTAGACTAGCAAAGGTAAGTGGAATGAATTAGAACGTCTCCCAGTTTCTCTGTCTGGAAGGAAAGGTGTTAAAGCAAACCTTCTTTTGAAAGGTCAGTTTTAAAGAAAGCAAGACCAAGCAAAGAAGAGGTTTCAGGTTTGGAACAACCCACAAGTTCACTACTCACATGTGCTGCATTTAGAAAAGTTGTGTTCATTGATTACATAACTAATCATTTTATGAAGCCCACTTACAATACTGTTTCAAGAAACAATCTTTACATAATTGTCCATTAGCAACAATCGGTGAAAAAAAATGAGTGTGGGTTTTTACAAATGAGTCTTCATTGCCAATCAACTTTTCCAAAACGCAGATTTATACATTGGCGAATGTAAACACAGTTGATGAGACCTAACAAAGTGGGTATGTAAGTCACATTTTTCTTAACACCTAATGTCCCAAGAAGACTGCAGTCCCCACAGCGTTACAGCTCTGGGTCATTCCGAGTCCCACGAACGCTGTCCCCTCTCTCCCCGCATCCAGCTCGCTCACGCGCGCGCACACACCGCTCACACGCATGCACGCCCCGGAGGCACAGAGCGCCGCGGTCCCTTCCAGCGGGTCCCGCAGCCCAGGGTCGCACTTTACCTCCCGCGCAGGCAGGATGCCGGCTGGCTCCGCTGGCTCCGAAGGGGCCATCGCTCTCCGCCTCTCTGCCCTTCTGGTGCAGCAGCTTGGGGCCCTCTGCGTTTTCAACAGGTACCATGGTCACGTAGAAGTTACAGCCTGACTCTCGCCACTAAACCACCGTGTCCTGCACCGCCGACAGGACTGGTCACTTTCTCCATGGTACCATGATAAAGAAAAGTGGGAGGGAGGGGGTCTTCGGGCAAAGCCAATGTGATTTGTGACCAACTTTGTTTCTATTTCCGAAGGCTTTGCCCTTTTCGGTGACACAGGCTGTTGCTATTCCAAGCAGCCTATCACAGGCAGGGGGAGGGCCCTGTCCGGAGGATTGTTGTTGCCTTTGGATGAGGAGTTGGAAGCAAGAGGTTAAAAGGCTTGCTCACAAGCCTCAACCACAGCGTTTGGCCATTAGCTGGGCTAGCTCTTGTATTCTTGCACCTTTAAAAACAGGCAGAGAAAGGAAAGTGCAGATTTATATGCCAGCCGTGGTGAGTGGCGACAGAACACTCACAGATGGTATCACCTAATCTTGCAGAAGAGGAATAACTTATGCAAAGACGTACCAGAAAGAAAAGTGTGTTAATTTTTCAGCAAGACTGTTTTTCCATGAGCCAGAACACTTACCAGCTTACACAAAACCTAAAACATCTTTACCATTTCAGTCTAACTTCAGTCTAGGTAAATGCTTCCTATGTTTCTTTCTTTTAAGGCCTGTCAAACAAATCAGGCCTGACGCCAACTCAAAATGCACAGATTTTTTAGATTTTGTATCTCTTGAGATGACAGCAAATTAGTGCTTCTCAAATACCTACTTTGCTTTAAGAGAACTAATGCTCAATCTTTGTCTGGTTGAAGTTTTGCTTGGGTAAGAGGTGGACACTTCCCACTCAGGAAGATGGACAAAATGACCCATCACATGAGTGTATTGGTCATATAATTAGAAAAAAATAAGGGTGTAAGAGAAAAAGTTGTTTTTTCTGATTTGGGAATATATTTATATAAGCAGTCTTACAGAGCGATGGTCTTTTGGTTTCAGTTACGTATTTAACAAATCACAGGTATTAATCAAACCTTATAGAGGAAACTAGGATCTTCTTAGAAAGTCATTGGAGAGTGAAAATTAAAATGCATGCAGTATTTGTATGCCAGAAATTGTACTAAGTTCATTAATTTGAATGATTCTTTTGGGGGGTAAGGAGACAAGCTTGTGAGACGGATGCCGATATGAAAGCCAAGGAACTGGAGGCTGAGTGGCTTGCCCAACGTCTTCCAGCTAGCCAGCATGAAGCCGAGATGGTGAAGTCAGGAGGTCTAAGGCCACAACTTGCCTCTAGGGAACCTTTGCTTCTCTACTGGCTCTTCATGATTTCATCTTTATTTTTTACTTTTATATGTATGTGTTTGCAGTATTATGATTGCATTCATTGTAAGGACTTGGCACACAACGTGTAATGCAATAATGACTTAGGCAACCATTTCGATTTGTTCCCAGGTTGCATTGACACCATAGGAGTGGCAGTTTTTATCTGAGACATGTATTTCTAATCGGTTCTCTATCTTCCCTTGGCTTTTGTCTTCTTCGTATGTAGAATCAATGACCTAGTGGTGGTGGTGGGGGGGGCACAGGGATGTTCTTGTCCTGGCTGAGTTGTGTGATTGCTTTGTTTCGTGATCCCTAGGACCTGTGCCTGTGTCAGCAGTAAGTGTTGGAGTATGTGCTGCAGCCGCTGAGCAGGCACAAGCGAAACCTAATTCCAGATTACCCAGTTCTGATTAAAAGCCATTCCACAATTCTTGCTCTGTTTTTATTGCAGCCAAATTATCCAGAACCAACCAAAATCCAAAGGAATGACCACCTTGCTTCCTGGTTCACCAAATTCTGTTGCTTTTCCTGTTGTTGACCTGACAGAGGTCCATGTCAAGCTCACCTCATTCTCTTAACTCTGAGAAAAGCTTGGAGGGGGACATTATTTTTGCTCAATATGAGGGGGACATTTTCTTTAAGTTCCCTTAACTCTCTATACTTCTTTCAGTGTTTAGCATACTTATAATGAATTTATTATAGTTGATACAATGTTTGGTTTAAATCTGTCTCTTCTGATGGATTGCAGCTTCTCAAAGTGTGGACCGTATTCTACATGGCTTAAGAGGGAGCTTTAAGTGCCCAAAAGAGAGCACACACACAGTGGATTCTGCTGGCTGTGTTGAAGCTCAGGTTGTGATGTTCTAAAGTATGGCACTTCAGAAGCTGGGTGCTCTGAACTGAAGGCTGTCAGAAGGGCCTCAGAAGCAAAGTTTCTCTGAATGTGTACTGTTCTTTTGTTTCTCAACACTTTCACTGCTCCAAAGCAAATGACTGAAATCAGAATTCCTTTTCCCCAAGGTAAGCTGCTCTTCCTCAAAGCAAGCCATAAACTTAGAAAGGTCACTCTTTATCCTTCTCTCCCAAAGAAGGCTCCTGCCTCCTACTCCAGGGAAAGAAATGCTTGCACAGAACTGAACAGGCCTCGCTGGCTGTCCTCCCATTGCATTACACCCTGTGTCCACTCACATTTCCACATGGCTGTCCATTCTTCATCCAAGTCAGGCATAAAAACTGCCAATTTTCCCTGGGTCATTTCTGAAGGCTTCTGTGCCACACAAAACTTTGATCAAATCAAACTCTTTGCCTTTGTCTTTTTAACCTGGTTTTTCTGACAACTGTATGAACCACAACCCTAAGATGGCTAAGGAAAGGTCTCCCACATTTCTGCTCTCACAGCTAAAAAGATTGATTCCCTGTAAACCCAATAAACTTTATCATCACAAGAATATGAACCAAGCACAGGGACTTGTACTGATTTGTGTGTTCAGCTACCTCCATATCCCTGGATCTTAAGACTATACGCAGTAGGCAGTCAGTAATATCTGTCAAACAAATGAGTGCTCACTTAGTATCAAAACCTGTATGATGTTTGGCCATGATACTGTGTTTTTACTTTCTCTGTCAATCTCTTTATAGTAAGTATCGTTAAAGGATGTCTCTCTTTCCTGGTTCTAAAACATTGCTATCAAAAAAAGGAAAAAGAAAACCCACTGCTATCACTAAAAGCTATTCAACCATTCAAGGAATATACAGCCTGCCATCTGCTGAGAGATAGGTCTGCATACCATTTGAGACACTGCCCCTACACAATGCAATCAAATCTAAAAACCCTTCTCATGGCTTATGAACTGACAGGGCAGTGAACTAAACACTTTGCTTTGTAAAGTGAATGCTACTACTTTCATTTTACAGAAATCTAAACTCAGAAGTTTATAAACCATGTCCAAAATCGCGATATTTTCTAATGTTTTATTATGAAAAATTTGAACTACACAGGAAAACCTAAATTCTGAAACAACATTTTATGTTACTTGCCTTTAGCACCTGCCTGCTAATCCCTCAGTCTTCCACTGATCCCTACAACTTTGTGTGCATTTTGAAGTAAGATGAAATGCTTCATATGCATATTATTAACTAGAACTCAGTATTTTATTTAGACTCTTTTTATCTCTTCCAGGCAAGTTTTATATACAAAGCAAATCACAGATCTTGAGGGTACCATTAGATGTGTTCAGAAGAAAGACACAACTGGTCTGAATCAAGGCCGGCAGCTTCCTGACGCTGTTGGTTTCAAGCAGGAGCCTAAAGAGATGTCTTTCTATGGTCTGTTGGCCATTTCAGAACTTGGGCAGTGAAATGATCAATTCATCAGAAAGAAATAGCTTGAAGCAACCCCTCCTGCCCTGGTGAGCGGCTGTGAGCCTGGCAAGCTGTGGTGGCCCAGCATAGGAGCCACGAGTGTTTTCTGAGACCCGCACCACACTGGGACCTGGAGGGCCGGGAAACCAAGAAACCTGTTTTGTTTTATTGAATGTCAATATACATGAAAGTATGGACAGCTATTTTGAAGAAAATGAGACACTCTACAAAGGCCATTAGTGACTTCCCTATTGTCTGGTTTTGAAGACCTAAAACACCTTCCTCATTCAGTTCAGATCATTTTTTTTACTATGCTGTTTTGTATGAATTCTCTCTATGTGAAGACATGGACAACTATTTGGAAGAAAACAAGAGACAATATGATAGTAAAGATCTCAGGTCATCTAGCTTTGAAATTTATATCTCTTCCTTTGCTTTCTTATGTCCTATTTTGTTCTGTTTTGTTGTGTTTAATTTTACCCCCTTTAAAATAAAAATCAAAAAAAGACACACTTCCCAAGCTCTTATTATGTTATAGAACATTTTCATCTTCCTAGAAATTTCCTTCATGTCTCTTCTGAGTAAATTCCCATCCAAATCTCTAGAAGCAACTAGTGTTTTGTGCAGAAATTACCTTTGCTTATTTTAAATTGTCATATTATGTGTAAGACTTTCTTTTCATGAGTATAATTTGAGATTCATCATGTTTTTGTGTGTATTAATAGTTCATTTGTTTATTGCTGAACAATACTTCCTGTATGTGTACACTACAGGTTTTTTATCACTACATGTTTGCAGAATACAGTGTTTACATTCCTTTTTCATTTTCCTTTCTCCTCTCTCCATCTCTTGATACTTTTCCCATTTAAGAAAATCTACCTCTCTATTTCTTACTATGTTTCAATTTTTATATCCTGGGTCTGTCCTGTAAGAGAAGTCATATAGTATTTAAGCTTGTGTGTTTTGTTTCACTTAACATTATGGCTTCGAGGTGTAGCCATTTTCCTACAAATGACTCAAGTTCATCTTTGTTTATGGCAGAGTAGTACTCTGTTGTGCGTAAATAACACATTTCCTTTTCCTTTCAATTGCTGGTAGATAGACCATAATTTTTTTATTTTAAAGATAGTAAAATCCAACAGAACAAAACCAATTAAAACAAAGCAGCAAAATTGGTAGAGAACTTCAAAGTAGGATACTAGGAAAACAACAATAGCTACCATAGTATATCTTATTATCTTCACAATAGTTGTTCATTCAATCAGGTATAGCAAAATCAAACCAAGACCACAACACTATAAAACCAATCAAAGCAAAATATTGAATAAAACAAAACAATCAGAACAAAGCAAAACAGTGAGACAATACTGGATTTTAAAGACAAGATGGAAGGAAATCCCCCATATTTGGTACATTGCATACTGTCATCCTCCCAAGACATGCTCAGACCTCTGGCTCCATGCCTGCAAAATCAACCAAATAATGCAAGCATTTAGTTTGCTTTATGTACCTTAGTTGCTATCAACCCAGTCTGTCCTCCAAACCAACGGGTTGCTTACGGGGGTGGGTGGGATTGATTCTCAGCCCTCACACACAGGAGGTGCTGACTTTTCCTGGGACTGTGCAGCTTGCACAGCTTATCAGAAAGGCTGGCTGGTTGGCTTCTTGTTGGATCCTCCTAGTCCCAGCATGGCAGATTTTTGGGAGTCGCTGACTTTTCAGATAGACCATAATCAAATAATAACAAATGCTGATGAGGCTGTAGGGGGTAAAAAAAAATATATATATATACCCATCCATATGGCTAGTGGGAATGTAAACTAGTACAACCACTATGAAAATCAGTATGGAGATTCCTCAAAACACTGAACTAGAAATTCTGTTTGATCCAGCTATTCCTTTTCTATATATCTTCTCAAAAGAGTTAAAGTTATCATATTACAGTGATACACACATATCCATGTTTATAGGAGAACAATTCATAATACATTACAGTTTATGAGGTTTCCTGTTGATGGACACCTGAACTGTTTCCAATCCTTAGCTACTGTAAAGAAGGCTGTTACAAGCATTCTTGTACAAGTCATTATTTTAGAGCATAACATTTCAAAGTGCAGCAGTCCAAGTCTGTCTGATTCCAAAACTACGTGCTTTCCCCAATACGCCCCTGCTTCTCTGTAGTGCACTACATTCATGTGGGGTGCATCCCCAGAGTTTTCATGCTGAAAGGGTTCATCATAGTATAAACACAAATGGGGAAATAAGACATTTAGAGGAACAAAATATCCAGATGCAAATTCAGTGTTTATTAGCTACATCCCAACAACATATTTTATTATGATTGTCCTTATTATAACAACAAATAAGGACATTTATTATTTAATATGTTTATATTAGCTACATTACTCTCTAAAAGTTTTCAACATAACTTTCTTCATTATGTTTAGAATATTAACAACCATATATTGACCAAAGTTCAATATAAATTCAGTGTGTCCACTTGGAGTAATACTATATAATAAACAATAGATGAAATACAATGTAGAAATGGAAAAAATGTTACTTCTATTATATTATGTTAGAAAAATAGAAGAGAAGCCAGGGATTTAGCCCTGGTACAAGAAAAAGTAGAGAAGAAAACTGTGTTTATAGGATACCATCACAATATGTTTTTAAAAATATACATGTACGCTGTTCCAGACCAAAAGTGTACATGAAAAAAAAATTTAAGAGCAATATGTATTGTTGAGAAGTGGAAATCTTCTCTGTAAGAGGGACAGAAGGAGGTCCTGAGTGGGTGGCCCTTGTACAGTGAAAAATTGAGAATAAATTTAATTCCTATATTGGTGTGGTTGCTAATTGTTGTGTCAGCTTGAGAAGGAAGTGACCAGGATGTGAGGGCAATCTGACTGTGACATCTGTCACCCCACTGCTGGCCAGAGTAGATTTGGCTGACACAGCTGACTCGGCAGGTGGTGCCTTCTTCCCTCATGACTCCATGTGCTTTTCTCCTAAAGCTGTGTGCTGCAAAGAAGGCAGACCACCCCAGATGGACAAGGACAGTTTCCTGTGTCAAGGGTATCTGAGTAACTGCTAGAGCCTGCTAGGCCCTCCAAACAAGCTCCCAAGAAACAACCACCTGACTGGCTTAGCACAGTTGTGGATGTGACTGAATGATGAAGTTAGAACCTCTCACTCTGGCTGGGAGTGGCACCAACCAATAAGCTTGCAGGTAGCCTGAGTGGAATAAAAAGAGAAAAAAAAAAAAAAAAAAGGCTTCCTCTGTCTCTTTGGAGGAGCTCCAATCTTCGCTTATTGCCTTGGACTTTTGTCTCCTGGCTTCCAGCCCAGACTCTTCAGCCTTGCAACAGTGACTCTGCAGCCCTCCGGCACAGACCCTTCAGTTCCTGATGGGGACTCACCTGGAACTCTGCAGTGAGCTCCAGGCCTTTGACTTTTTCTGGATCCTTCAGATCTTCAGCACACAGATGGGTCTTTTGTACTCTTCCACATCTGACTCTGCAGCCAGCCAATATATCTTATATTGAATGTTTCTCTAGTGAGCACTGAATGATACAATTAGGATGGCAAGTTATGTGTAAGAAGTATTTTAAAAGCACTGGTGTGCTGGGGGTGCTCAGTAGAAGAGCACTTGCCTAGCATGCATGAGGCCCTGAGTTCAAATCCCCAGAATCACATGTATGCAAAAATTGCTTAATATTTTTATAATATTATACATATAATAAATATAAGTCTGAAGAAAAGTTTTTCATGTTTTAGGTTGCCATATAAGTGGGCCATTCTCATTTGCAGACAATAAATTTAATTATAAAGAAAATTTTCCAAAAATATGTAATAAAAATATCTTGAAGAATGTGCAGGTTTTTCTAATTTGCACAAATGTGCATTTTGAGTAACTAATGAAGCTTCTTGGATCATAATTTCCCCCAAAGTCACACTAGCATTTTATCTATTAGTTTGGCCTATGTCTGCTTTTGTAATGATTGGCAGCATAAAGTGAGCAACCTTCTCCCTTTGATATAACTTCTTTTCCAAATAAATTATTTCTCATTTAAAAATCAATAGCATTCCTCTATATCAATAATGAAATCATTTAGAAATAAAGTAAGCAATGCCATTCATAATATCATCAGGAAAAATTAAATACTTAGAAATTTACCTAGCCAACGAAGTGAAAGACTTCTAAAATGAAAACTATAGTATCCTGAAAAAGGAGATTGAAAAGGACATCAGAAAGTAGAAAGATATCCAAGTAATTGGATAAGATGAACCATTATGATCAAAATGGCCATATTTCCAAAATTGATATACAGATCTACAATGATTCCAATCACAATACCAACAGCACTCTCTACAGAACTAGAGAAAACAATCCCAAAATTCCTATGGACTCAATAGAGACCTATACTAGCAAAAGAAATCCTAAACAGCAAAAGCCAAGCAGGATATATCACAATTCTGGATTTCAAGTTATATTGCAAAGCTACAGAGATGAAATCAGTATAATACTGGCACAAAAACAAACTTGTGGATTGACTTAGTTACTTTTTTTCTCATTACTGAGACAAAATACCCAACACCCAAAATTAAGAGGAAAGGTTTATTTCCATTCACAGTTTGTATAAGTCCCAGTTCACAGTTGGCTGACTCCAAGGCAGGGTGGCATAGCACAAGGGTATCACAGAGAAGGAACAGTTCATGGTAGTCAGAAGACAGCAAAAGCAAGCAAAATAGTGAACCAAAAAGGTGACCTACAAGAAGTCTCTTTCTGCCATTATATTTTATCCAGGCTGTCCATCCTTAATCCTAGCATTGCACCATGACTCAATCCCGTTGCCATACATTCTAGATCTAGCCACCACTTTTAAAAAGCCCCACCTATAGTTGCCTAAGGCTTTGGGGTGACATCTAGACCCAAATCATAGCAAGGATCAGGAGAAGAGAGTAGAGGAATGAAGATACCACCCTAGAGATGTTCAGCTATTTGATCTTTGAGAAAGGGACCCAGAGCATACACTGGAGAAAAGATAGACTCTGCAACAAATGGTGCTGGGAAACTGGCTATTTCCATGCAGAAAATTTAATATAGACCCATGTCTCTCACCATGTTCTAAACTAAAATAAAAATGGATCAATCAGCTGAATGTTAAAACAGAAACAATCTGCTGTAACATAAAATAGATAAAACTCGATTCTTGAAGACATAGATGTAGGCAAGGACATTCTGAACAGAACCCCAACTGTAGAAGAAATTACATTAAGAATCAACAAATGAGAGGGCTGGGGATTTAGCTCAGCGGCATAAGTGCCTGCCTTGCAAGCAGGCAGTCGTGAGTTCAATCCCTGGTACCGATAAAAAGGAAAAAGACAAAAAAAAAAAAAAAAAAAAAAAAAAAGAATCAACAAATGGGACCATATCAAATCCAAAACTTCTACACAGCAAAGGAAACAGCCAACAGAGTAAAAGAACAACCCACAGAATGGGAAAAAA